GTTTCCTGTCAGGGCGGTCATTGGTGGTAGCCGGGCACCATCTAGCTCTTCTGGCCTCAGGCTGATGAAGTCTCTGGTTTATGTGGCCCTTTCTGTCTCTTGGGCTAATACTTTCTTTGCATTTTACACCCAATTTTAATAGATTCCTTATTTAGGACTTTCTGAAGTATTTCCTCAGCTTCTGAGACACACAGAGCGTACCCTCTTCAAATGTAGCAAGTTCATGCAGTTTCTTCACCTCTTATAAGTCGAGGGAAATAAAGGTATTGACTTTAGGGGATTGTTGGGAAGTTAAACGAGATAATCTTTGTAGCACTGTGCCTGGAACACAGTAAAGGCACAATAAATGTTAGCTGGTGTTAGGATCTCAGTATTTATTTGTTGAAGGAGTGAAGCTGACTTCGTTACCCACCACCCATCTTCCTCATTTCTTCTCCCCACCCTCTACCCAACCATCCCCCATTCTTCAAAGCTGAGTTGGGAGCTGGGCGTGAAGGAGACTTGCTCACGTGGTGAGTGGATGAAACACTGCCCTGAAGAACACGAACTTTCTGTCCTCAGCCAGGCTCTGGGGGGTGGGCTCAGGCAAATGTTTAAGGGTGGGATGGTTTGGGGTGGGCCTCTCTGAAGGCAGAGGTATGGGCTGATTGGCTCAGTGTTCTCTCACGGCCCTTCCAAAGCTGTGAAGAGAGAGAGTCTCGGGTCTCTCTTTGTCTTGAGCTCGTAGCCTTCCTCTTCTGGGTCAGACCACAGCCATGTGCCTTTCTCTCACTAGATGGCACCACAGAGAGTGGGTCTGTCATTAAGGCGAGGAGGCCGAGCTTCCCTAGAGGACGTCTTGTAGGAGGCCCCTTCATCCAGGAGCATGGAAGAAAGGGGCAGTCACTTACCTCCAAGGCCCGAGAGTCCACAGTGCCCCCTCCTCCTTCCTCACAGTGGAGCAGGTCAGAGTGGACACCATACCCAAAGGCTGTGGATCAACAGGCAGACCCGGGACAAGTACCCTAGCATGAAAAGATACACTGTCCAATCACATTCCTTCTCTCGGGAATCTGGACTAGAAAGTAGAAGGAGACCGAGCACGTTAGCAGCAAGGACAGAAGCTGGCCAGTTATGAAGTAGAGAAGCAAGTAGTGCCGCCAGGATGGACCGTGAACGGCTGAAGTTACGAGGCAGGGAGGGAGTGGGTTTGTGGTGTTTGGAAAAAACACAGAACAAGAGGAGAGGCGCCAAGATGGACTGGGATGGAACCTCAGCCTACGCAGGTGTCCCTGAGCTGCCCCATTTCCAGCCAGCCCCAATCCCGGGCCCTGGCCTTAAAACAACCTTCTTCTTGAAGGCTGAAGGCAGTCTGTTGCTTACTACCCAAAGTGCCTGACCAGCTCTCGGAGCCTGGCGAAGTCACGGACCCAGAGGTCTGGTGAACATTCTCCAAAAGTGCTGTGTCTTCACAGACCATTTTTGTTTCTGGTACTCTGTTTGAAGGAAGTTGGTTAAACCCATTGTGAAAAGGCCGTAGAGAAAGCAACGCAAAAGCAAGACCCTGAGATGTATAGAGACGGGAGTCAGACATTGTCACCCTCCCTTTGATCAACAGTGCAAGCTCCTTACACACACACACACACACACACACACACACCCAGTCTGCCCTGTCAGTATCGCAACAGCTAAAGCCCCACAAAAGTACAGTGCGCGCAGATTGCCCCAGACGCAGTCCCAAGCTCCCAAGCAGCGACAAGACCAGTAGGATGAGGACCCCAGCCAGTAGCATCAACCCCTCCCGGGCACTACGTCCATGTAGTCGATGGAGTTGCACACATGAGACACTTACACAGTGTTGGCAAAGTGAAAGGCATTTTATTACTTACAGAAAACAGGCAGCCAAGAGCAGGATCAGATTCGTGGTGAGCCGGCCCCTGGGTTCGGAAAGCTGTCCAGGCGGGATGGAGACTCCTCTCTGCGTGCTCCACTGTGCGTCACGGAGAAGGACCTGCGGACCCTTCAGAGGGACCCGCTCACCCTTTCCAGAAACAGACTCACTCTTCCTTCCCGGCGCGGGACTGCTGTGCCACAGGTGTCAGCAGGGGGCCACACTTCAGGCGCCGCGTCCACATCACCACTTCGGTATCAGCCAGTGTATGCTGGCTACAGTTAACTGTGCTCTGTCTCTCTCTCTCTGTCTCTCTGTCTCTCTCTCTCTCTGTCTCTGTCTCTGTCTCTCTGTCTCTCTCTCTGTCTCTGTCTCTCTCTCTCTGTCTCTCTCTCTCTCTGTCTCTCTCTCTCTCTCTCTCTCTCTCTCTGTCTCTCTCTCTCTCTGCAGCTGCTCCTGGCCGGCTCTGCTCCCATGGCTGACTGGTCCAACTCTCAACCAGCAGCCTCAGAATAGCCCTGGGCCAGCCCCAACTCTAGGCCAGTATCACAATAGCTCTCAAAACAGAACTGCTCTGTGGGCAGTCCCCGCGTGGGGTGCCCGAGGGAGGCTCAGCAGGCAGATCCCTGCATGGGGTGCCCAAGGCTCAGCAGGCAGACAAAGCACTGTACAGGGTCTCCTGCAGCTACCTCTGGGCCTCTCACCCAGCCTCTGGGTCTCTCACCGCTGCCTCTCTGCTCTGTGGGCACTTCAGCCCTTCACTGCTGAATGTTACAGATCTCAGCTCAGC